TTCTTGTGAGATGCTGATGTAATTGGCCATCATGGTTTGAATGTAATCGAAAAAGACAGACAAGGGGATTGTACCAGCACCTTTTTTAGTGATATGTGTACCGAATCAGTTTTTCCCGCACATGCTATTCGTAAAAATCTGTTCTTGGTGATGCTCCGTTTAGAAACTTATCCAACCCTTACTGAGTTAAAGCTCCTACCTTATGCTGCAAGACTCATGTTGTCGTCGTCCTAGAACTCCTTATATTCGGTTTTTACATCGGAAACTGCCAGTCACCTGAACAACAAGAACGTCGAAGAAAATAAATCACGACCGTATTCATTATTACTTGTTTGTGAAGAATGTATCTAAAATATAGTTGTTCAGAATAGTCATACCCAAAATGTATTGAGAGCTGTTAAATGTTTGTACGATGGACTCTGACCGATAACTATGAGCTGAATTCCATGGCCTACGATGAAAGCTCATAGACGACTTGACTTGTGGGAGCGGGATAAAAACCCATCAAGTCCAAAGCACCAAGTGTCCCAAATTGTAGTGCACAATATCGTCGGATAGGCCATGGCAATTAATGTACAAGATGCACTCGGTTTGCGTTACAAAGCATTTTCACAGCCTGATTTCCCAGAGTTAATCACCTTCACAAACTATGGGGTGTGTGGCAGCCAAAATCCAATTATTTTGGCCTGAACGGGGGAAACAACTAGGCGGTGCCAACTAACGCAAATCTGACAAGTCCCTGCGTTCTGGTGTATGGTTTCTGAACTTCCACGACTGACACACAGTCAAAGGTTGGATCAACAATGCCAATAACACGGCTTTTAGCGAACCTGTCGTAGATTCGTAACAAAATCTTTGGTACTATCAAAGCAAAAATAAGTTATATCAAAATTACAAAAATACCTCAACAGTGCCGTTGAGTAACAGTCGAGACGTTCTCGGGTGCAAATACGTACTATACGGTGAAAACTGGTTAGACAAATACAACAGTTAAGTACCTGAGAATCAATAAGAATATTCCCGACAAAAGGGATCAAAACTCTGTCTACCAGAATCAAATCAACAAATAAACGTTTACACTAGACAGTCAAAAGACAAACAGCCAAATCACAGTACAACTGTAAGTTGAACCAAAACAAAACGTCGGGTGCAGTAAAACAACGTCACGTTGTCAGTAGTCTAGCGTCACATAATAGGAAAGTGAGGAGTTCGTGACTGGTCTCAATCATACAAAGACAAATAATGGGTGCAAAGTCAGAGAAGACAGTCAAATACCCAAATAACATTACATCGTCTAGGGTCAAAGGCACAATATCCATAACGAGGGTGAAAATATTCAAATAAATGTCAATACCATCAAATAAAATGACCAGGAGGGATTTTCAATTCATTTTTTCCGTTACAGTGTGTACGACTTTCCGAGTTTCGCAGCAAACGTTGAAACGTTGGACCGAATGGGATTATGCATGACTGATGAAGATGATGAACCGGAACACCTTTTCCTCTGCACAACTGATCACCAGTGTTTGTCACAGTCTCCTTGATTTAGTCGGATTGGATGGCACATACAGAACTAACGAGGAGAACTTGTTTGTGTACCAGCCTTTCATCCTTGGTATCCATGTTATAACACTATCAGTTGCCCACGACTTCATTCGAAGTGGGTGTTAGAGATGATTGGGCGAATTTCCTCCTTTCCTCGTGGAAGCAACAAAGAAAATTGGTATTGTGTGCTTTATTACCCACGATTTTGCATCAATATTACGGCTATGAGGAATTTTCACTCCTAACCACATCGCCCACTGTGTCGTGTGTGTAAAATCTGCGCGTGCATGCAGTCTGTTCTTAAAATAGATGTGATTTTATTTCCCTTACAAAGAGTGGGATCAAGAATATTGCAGTATTTCTTCCATCCTATGCAAACTCAGAATATTGACGGGTGAGAATGTGTTTATCATTCTATTTTAAAGCTCACATTTTAAATGTATTTCTCAGAGATTTAGTCAAGAGACGCTGCCTTCAGTATTTACTTCCTTAAAAGCTAGTTACCGAAAAGAGAAAAGTGTGTATCCACTTATCGACCGTCTTTTTTGACTCCCTGATTAAACTGACATTCATGTCGTTGAAAAAACAACTCATGAAGAAACTGCTGAAGGTTGGTCAATACATTCCAAAGAATACAGTAGTCATCGTGATGATATAGAGGATGCTAACTTTTAATAAAAAGGCCTTTGCTATCCCTGTTATCTCGGGTACCTGTCATAATCTTTATCAGATAGGAAACTGAACTACCTGTTAATGCAGTGTAGTATTCAACATATTTGTACTTGGTTTGGCTGTAAAAGTGCACTTACCCTCAACTTACGATACGATTGAAAACTCGGTGTAGACAGATCTCATGAATAAGAAGCTTGGTTTCACTAAAACCCACTGGCTCGAAGGATGGGTGCATAAGCATACATTCCACTTGATATCATACGTTCTCATCACTTCAACTGGCATACATGCTCAATGGTATTCTGCCCTTGTCTGGTCAGTAAGAAGACATAAATGTAAGATAGTTGTAAAATGGTTGGAACTTCCAGCTTCAACAAAACCCTAGGCTGAGGCAGTAACAAATGAGATCCTGTGTGACATTAATACGTACAAATGCATACACTGAGTGCTTTCCTAACACAATATTTTTTGCTTCTTTACATCATCTCGTATCTTGAAGTCAACCGTAGTAAAGAGAAATGTAAGCACACTTCGTCCTAGTACATTCGAACTTAGAGCGTACTTTTAACGCACGTCCAAAACCATTCTCTCTGTGACACCTTTTGTGACATACACATTTTCAGCTAATCTTCCTCTTCTTCTTCATATATATATATATATATATATATATATATATATATATATATATATATATATATATATGCATAGAATGCTGCGGTAAAGAAAGCCATTCTATTCCCACAGCCTTCTCTCATATGCATTTTCTCATGCTGATATTATAAGTAACGTTAATCTCCGGAACATTCAAATCAGTCTTGGGTCAGGGTCATAATCCAATAGTTAAACAGAATATGTCGGCTGACTTTCACGTGAGCACTGTATTGATGTATTTCGTCATTTAATTGTCGACAATTGTGTCTAGACTCAAAGAAATATCACCTACTTGATCGAATGAGTAGCTAGGTGTCCGTGAATTGTCAGTGTTGTTATGGTCAACAGGCTGATTACACTGACCGAATTTATGAAACCCATATAACTAAGTGAAATGATTAGTTGTGGTGGTGTGATTTGTGAAGAGCTTGGTACGAATGTGCTTATCTGATGCATACCTCTATGCTCTGCATTTATTTCACGAGTGACAACACAGTCATACTCTTCTTTGAATCCAGGTGAAGGATAGTCGAATCTCTGACGTTTATCAGAGCAGTTATGCCTGTATGTAACAATAATCATCAGAGTTTATGAAGTCGGAGATTTCCTGAACTCAGCAGTTTTAGTTACACTGACGATCGATGAAAATCGCCGTTTCTCGATGAACGTGGACAGCTGTTGGTACCAGTGAGCAACATCTTGAGTTTCGTGCTTGCGAAAACACTCTTGAAATATATACTGTTCTCACTGGTGTTGCTTTTAATCTCAAGTTGAGTGGTCCATCTGCATTTTGTCTTTAATTCCTCTTCTTCTTTTATCAAACAATAATAACAGCAAATAATCTAGACTAGAAAACTGAAGATTATGAATAAATGCGCCTTCGTAGTTAATTCCAAGACACCGGGTAGATGTAAAACGTGCTGGAAGTTCACAAACGCTATCAAACGTCAGATCATGAGAATTATACTTCAATCTGATTAACGAGCCTTAAAACTCAACGATGAAAGAATTGCTGGATGTGATCGACTAATTTAGGACCTGAAGTGGTAATCAATGAGCCTGAATCCGTCACAATATAATTTTAAGCATTTTCGTATACTGTTATTCTCCAACCACTTGGATCAATAATGTTACATGCTTGAAGGAATATCTGATGAATAAAAATGTGAAGCTTGAAATTAGCCTGTATAATTTACAGTTCAAAAATTAGAAGAAATTATTAACAATGTGAAAAAATTGGATATCAAAACTTGAGGCGTTTTCGAAAAGATAAAATGTATTCTTAGTTCAGGTGAATTATGTTGATAAGCTATATCCTGAATTTACTTATTGGGCGTTATACAATTGCGACACACCCTGCCTGACATTCAGTCTATTTTAAAAATATCGTTATTACTTGAATGGTTTGCCATTGAGACCTAATTACTAAAAACGGCTGAACTAATAGGCAAATAATAGATTTCGAGATGAAATTATTGGACTATATGTAAGACCCAAACCTCGCCTGGTTAACTAGTTTACTAGTTACTAGTCGGTCCTAAGCCCGGGTAAAGAGGGAAGGTTGGGCATAGGGCTAGCAACCCTACCCCGTAAAACAAATCTAACCGCTAAAGAAACTTCAAAGCACAAACAAAATATAAAAAATGAAAACAAACTTATTCCCCGCTGGAATCGGAGAGGCGAAATGACGCCAGTTGGTGAAAGCCTTCGGGAAGCCAATTGGCCGATGTGTCTTCTCTCGATGAAAGCGAAAGTAAACGTGGGGACATGGAATGTCCGCACGATGTTTGAACCCAGTAAGGCAGCCCAGATTGCAAAGGAGATGAGAAGGTATAACATCGAAGTGCTTGGGATTTGCGAAAGCAGATGGAATGGGAGTGGACTCTCCAAACTGTCAACTGGAGAATCAATAATCTACTCCGTGTCACCCAGACGCCAACCACGAGCACACTGAGGGAGTGGCTATCATGATGTCCTCAAGAGCATCGAAGGCTCTCATGCAGTGGGAACCAATCTCCTCCAGGATCATGACAGCAAGATTCAACTCAAAAGGAAGAAAGGTCACAATCATACAATGTTATGCACCTACAAATAATGCAGAGCAAGAGAAAAAGGAGGAATTCTACAGACAACTTCAATCAACACTGGACAAGACGTCAGTTGGCGATATCAAAATTCTAATGGGCGACATGAATGCCAAACTGGGAGGGGACAACACGGGAAGAGAACTAACCATGGGTCGAGAGGCGCTAGGTGAAATGAATGAGAATGGAGAATTGTTTGCAGAATTCTGTGCATTCAACGATTTGGTGATTGGAGGCAGTGTGTTCAGGCACAAGGATATCCACAAAGCGACATGGACTTCACCAGATGGACACACTAAAAATCAAATCGACTTTATCTCAATCTCAAGAAAATGGAGACGCAGTCTACTTAACACAAGGTCAAGAAGAGGAGCAGATGTAGGTTCAGACCACTATCTAGTGCAAGGAACCTTCCAAATCAAGTTAAAAGCCTTCAAGGAAGCTGGTGATAGACCTCAATTCAAGTACAACACTCGGAAACTGAAGGATGAAACTACAAAGGAGATCTTCAAAGCAGCCATCAAGACAAAATGGGAGACGTCGAGGGACATCCCTGAAGAAACCTGTGTAGAAGAACACTGGAAGTCTTTGAAAGCTATGTGGAAAGAAACCTGCACAACAGTATTAGGAAGGAAGAAGAAAGAAGACAAGGAATGGATCTCGACGGATACCTGGAAGCTGATAGAGGAGAGGAGGATGGTGAAGCAGAAGATAAACCAGTGCAAGGATGCTCAACGACAAGAGGAACTGAGCACAATGTATAAAACACTGGATAAAGAAGTGAAGAAGAGTGCACGCAAAGACAAACGACACTTCTACGACACACTGGCAAGTGAAGCAGAACAGGCTGCAGGTAAGAGAGACCTGACGACATTGTATCAAATAACCAGGTTGCTATCAGGGAAGAGACCAACACAGATGAAACCAATAAAAGATGAAGAAGGAAATTTAATTACAAAAGAAGAGAAACAGAGGAAACGATGGGCCGACCACTTCAAGAAGCTCTTGAATCGACCACCACCTGCACTTCGTCCAGAAATACCACCTGCAGCCGCTGAATTACAAGTGAACATAAATCCCCCAACGAAAATGGAAGTCCTGAACGCCATAAAGCTACTGAAATGCGGGAAAGCAGCAGGACCAGATGGAATACCGCCAGAAGCACTGAGAACAGATGCAGAGACAACAGCGGACATGCTCACACCACTATTGCAGAAGGTGTGGAAGGAAGAGAAGGTACCTGACGATTGGAAGAAGGGTTACCTTGTCAAACTGCCGAAGAAGGGAGACCTCAGTGCTTGCAAGAACTGGCGCGGAATCACTCTCCTGTCCACCCCAAGTAAAATATTAAGCCGCATCATCCTGGAGAGGCTTAAAGACGCACTGGATTCAAAACTGCGACCGGAACAGGCAGGCTTCAGGAAGTACAAATCATGTGCTGACCAAATTGCAACGCTTCGTATCATCATAGAACAGAGCGTAGAATGGCAATCAGCTCTATACCTCAACTTCATCGACTTTGAGAAGGCCTTTGACAGCGTCGACCGAGAAGTAATTTGGAAACTGCTTCAATACTACGGAGTACCGCAAACCTTTATCCGCCTCATTCAACAACTATATGAAGATGCCACATGCCAAGTAATCCACAATGGGAAGCTCAGTGATGCCTTTGAAGTGAAGACAGGAGTGAAACAAGGTTGCCTACTATCCCCCATGATATTCCTGATTGTGGTGGACTGGATCATGCAGCAAACAGTAGGCAGCGAGAAGAGGGGGATACACTGGACGACGGAAAAGAACCTAGAAGACTTGGATTTCGCCGATGACTTATGCCTAATGTCACATAAACTTGAAGATCTGCAGGCAAAAACTAACAAGTTGACAGAAGAGGCAGCTAAGACGGGACTTCAGGTGAATATAGAGAAGACAGAAGTGATGAAGATACCGCACCACCACCATCAACAACAACAACAAACTCCAATCACCGTCAACGGGAGAAACTTGAAGGAAGTAACCTCCTTCACTTATCTAGGAAGCACTGTTTCAACTACAGGCGGGACGGACGAGGACGTCAAAGTCAGAATCGGAAAAGCAAGACAGGCGTTCATTAGCCTGAAACCAGTGTGGAGATCTTCTGCACTCAGCATGCGGAACAAGATACGGATTTTCAACACCAACGTCAAGTCAGTGCTCTTGTATGGCTCAGAGACTTGGCGCGTCACGAAAGGCATTTCCAATAAACTACAGACATTCATCAACAACTGCTTACGCTCGCTGCTGAAGATCAGATGGCCAGAAAAAATAAGCAACAAGGAACTCTGGGAACGAACCAACCAAGAACCTATCACGCAACAAATATGCAGGAAGAAGTGGAGATGGATTGGCCATGCACTGAGAAGGCCGACTGAGGACATCACGCGTCAGGCCCTCGAGTGGAATCCCCATGGGAAGCGACGAGTTGGACGTCCGAGGGTGACATGGAGGAGGTCATGCGAGGAGGAAATGAGAGCTTCTGGGCTGTCGTGGAACCAGGTTCAAAAGATCTCAGAGAACAGAGGTCACTGGAGGCGTGCTACTGAAGCCCTATGTTCCACTAGGAACCCAAGGGACTAATAATAAAATAATAATAATAATGTAAGACCCAAGGCAAACATTGAATGAGTACATTTTATAAAATGATTTTGAAAACGCGAAGCAATAAGAGTCTCAAGTACAGTGTACCTGAAGGAGTAATTTTTCTGTGGTTAACTGATATTAGTCAATTAGTAATGCAAAGATTTGGCCAACATTACTTGTCCAGAGATCACAGCAGTTTGTTTGACTTCCGTCTGATAAACTTTCACCGCCTCTCAGTTTTTGAATAAACTTTTTGTGATAAAAGCATTTGGATTGGGTTGAAAAACGACTATTATTTGCCTTACTAATTCGATCTTCAAGAGGCTATCACAAGAAAAATGGTACATTATTCCAAGTAATTGCAAGAAGTATCCACTCGATATTCATTCTATCGTTTTGTAAATCGGCTCATAAACATACCTCTCCTTCATTTTAAAAAGTTATTCTTATAAAATGCTAGAGTGAACGAAGTTACATTGAAAAATCACAGAATAGATTTTAATGTGCTCTTTCAATGTTGAACATTGAGAGAAATATTCATAAACCAATACATGAGTAATAATTTCGTCGTAAATACTGATAAAATAATACAACTGTAAGGTCATTTATTCTTTGTGTGAAACTTTGTAACCAGTACTGGGAAAGATATTTGAGCGGTTGAGAGGTTTCAACTGACTTATCCTGGTTTCAGCTATAATACCAGTTTGAACCGACAGCTGTCTATTTGATTACCCTAACTATAGAGCCTGTCAAAATGAAGTTATTAGAAGTTCATAGGTAGGAAAATATGCCACTAAACGATATGGGTAAACAGATACCATTAACAGAAATATCTAGCCTAAAGGCAAGATTTTAATGTTTAAGGTAAACACTTTCATTACTTTGGTAAAAAACAAGATTTGAAGAAAGGGAGAAAAAAGATTACAAACGATGGGACTTTATAGCTGCTGCTTCGCATGATAAACTGATAGGCTGTTTCCTTAGAAGATTCTCATATTAACACATCAATGGTGATTAGCCTTAGTTTCCGCATTGCAGGTCATCCTTCTGTACAGAACACTTGATCGCTGAGTGTATATAGAGAAAAATGATGACTTGCATTCCACATGCCTCCTTACAACTCGTGCAAAGAGATTATTTATAGTCAGCTTGATTAGAGTAGAGATAATCCTAATCGTTAAGTATCTAAAATCGGCCAGAAGTTTTTAACCAATAGATTAAGTAGTGGGACCTAATACACTGATTGAATGTAAAGTAGTTGGAGGAAACCAGCAGGACCCTCTGTTAGATATAGGTTTCGCGCTTGTTGGCACTCGTCATCACGGTGCATCGGCAACCTCTAGGGAACTGATGTCTTCCTAGAGATTCAAGCTCACCTCACCCAGTGATGCAGTCACAGACGCTAACACTTAATCATTCAGGCGGTGACTGACATCTTATAGGACTGGATTAGGTACGCTGATTTGTCACTAGAGAGTAACTAACTCTATGTTCAAACTGGAGGTTTGTGGGGATTTATTTACGGATTTCAGGAGGATATTCATCATGGACTGACATCAGCTGGAGAAATATTGGAAACCTGGGAGCGCTGGGCAACCGCTTTGTTCTAGTATAGGACTCCTCAGCACTGCTCACCGATGACTTCACCATGGATCCGACCCGGGACCTCCAGGTTCCGCAACCAGCACGTTACCGTTGAGCCCCTTGGTCAGAATCCAGTAGTTTATATTTCTTACTTCTGTGAGTTCACGATATAGCGTGACCTCCATCCGATGGGGTGGTTGAGTAACCGTTCACAGGTTCGACTTGATTGACCCCACTGGTCATGACTTCTCATTGGAACTTCGCAAATCATCTCAAAACTGATCACCAATGGTCACTAGATTAATTCTTTTTCGTAGTTTCTAGGAATTTATTTATTAATTTTAGGTTGGTATCCATCAACAAATAAATCCCCACAAACCTGCAAATTGAATTAATCAAGTGTTCACTGGTGATTAACTTTGAAAGGTGATTCTCAAAGTTCCAATGAGAAGTCGTGACAGGTGGGGCCAACCAAGTCCGTGGTGGATACTAACCAAATAATAATTTCATATGGTTTAGTCCTAACTGAAAACCGTATTACAGAGAATTTGAAATTTTTTCCACCAATGTATTCATAAAATAGGACAGTATTTTCTCAATTGAAGCAGATAAGAAGTTCGGCGAAACTCGCTTCTCCTCAATATCATACACTACAACTATGCGAACTTAGTTTCGTCTCATTGATTTTAGTCTATGACAGTCTCATAAGCTTAACACAAAGAACATCGAAACAGAAAATTAATAGGTTTTCAAGCAAAAGACTGCGCAGTATCTGTAAGTAATTATTAAGGAAAATATTGACCAAGGTGAACTCGGAGGCGGGTGTAGGATAAGTTTCTTCGGCATGTAGGACTCAGGCTTCGAAAAGCACATTCTCATCTTTATTGGGTGGAATCATAGACATACTATCAACTGTAAAATTCCTTAAATATTGCAAGTTTTCTGGAGTGATAAATCTGAAGTGATGTGATACTTGGCGTTGATATGGTGCTTGTCTTTTGCAGCTCAGTAAAATTAATCCTTTTAAGGCAAGGAAAAAAGTAATTTTATCTCTTTGGGAGAGGATGAGGACGAAACTACAGAAATACATGACTTCACAAAAGCAAGTAAATTGAGATAAACACCTATAGAAGTGATCACACTTGTGCCCAAAGTCAACGAATTATAAAGTCTGTGTTTTTCTATTTCCTCAATACGGGCTGACGAAGTCGACTGTAAAAATCCCCTACTTTATGTCGTCTTATTTGCTTGTGCCAATACACATTCAAAATCCAGAGACTGTAGGGACACAGACACAATGCTCTGAGGCATCAAAATACTACGAAATATCTTTCGCAAAACAAAGTTTGACTCAGCAAATTATTAATGAATCGTTCATACTGTTTCTGAGAAGAATATGTTGGCATCTTATTGAGAGAGACTTAAAAAATTATGCGAATGATTGGTTGCACAGTCAAAAACATACTGATATACAAAGCAGAAATCAAGCTAAAGTCCTTCTAAAATTCCTCAGGTTGGGTGAAATCACCTCTAACTTGACAGCATTTAAGTATTCTACACCTACACAAAAATTAAGACATCCTCATATGTTCGGTTGTTGTTATTAATCAAGTATTGAAACAAGACAAGTGGCAAATTGAAAATAAAATTGTCGTATCAGCAGTCAGTAACGCAGATGAAACGTATATCTTAACTTGGTGTATGTGATAAACTTACCTCGAAGTAACTGGAATGACCGAGTGACTCTTAAGGACACTATAACAACTATTAAAGTAAGCAATGAGAGTACGGTATTTTATGAAAAACTGCATTCCCACTCGAAATAAAGAAACGAAATTGGTTGTTTCAGTTGGTGCTAGGGTGGCTGTTAAAATCACTTGGAATGATAATCCAGCATATCCGTCACATTGGTTGAGCCATTGAAACCTGCCAGTCAGAGTAAGATAATTTTAAAATTCTAGTTTCTTACCAAGCCTGTATCCTCAATAATAATAATAATAATAATAATAATAATAATAATAATAATAATAATAATAATAATAATAATAATAATAATAAATGTTTGATTCATTTCAAACTA